ATATATTTACTAAACCACTTGACATGAATAGATTTACCTGTTTGCAAAAGTCCCTTGGTATTGGTAATTTTGGATTTTGACCACTAACTGAGTTTGTTCTGAAGTGTTTAAGTGAAACAGTGTTGAAAGGGCGGTCAGTGGTACCTCACAAAGTAGTCAGGTGCACTTCAGACATTGGTGATACGAAAATCCTTTGGTACTCCTCTGTCAGCTTATACTCAGGCAAAAAAAAAAAAATGAGTGATGATTTGTGTTTGTGTTTCGCTTGGTGAAGTTAAAAAAAAAAAAGGGAACTGACATGAGTAGATTAACAAAATCGCTCGGGTCTAAGTTGAACAACATACAGTTCTTTCGACGGTCTAAGGTCAGATGTAACTGATTCATCATACTCCGCTGTAAGGTGATACTTTACAAGAGTATATCTCAATGAGATAGGCTGGGCTTAAGTGGTGAAACAGTATGATTGAACTCAACGTCCTAGAAGTTCAGGTGGATGAAAAAGAAATATGAGAAAAATGAATCTTCACTTGGTGGAGTAAGCACTGGACGAAGAGTGAGGTGTCACTGACTCAACTGGATACACTGCGAACTAAGGTACGAAAGAATAAATTCCCTTGGTGTTAAAATCGTAATTTTATCGCGTAACGGATTTCTGTTTTAAATGTTTTTGAACGTTATTTCTCGAAATGATTGATGTGAGTGGTTGAGTAAATTTTCGGTTATTGGGAAGTGGGATCCGAAAAATCAGAGATTTCTCAAACAAACTCATTGCCCCACAATAAAAAGAAGTGTTCTCTCTCTATCCCTGCGAAGTTCTGGTGCAAAAACCCTAAATCAGAGAGGTTGATTCGCAAGAGAGTTGTGTGGTTCAACAGAAGAAAAACGCAACGAGAGAGTGAAATTTCAAGTGTCAGACTCAACATGGATCCGAAAGAAAGGAGAGAAGATGCTGGTGAGGATCGTCACCCAGAATCAGAAGAAGAAGGTTCATCTGGAGAAGAAAAATCGAGTGAACTCAGAAAAGAAGAATCTTCGAACTCGTTCGTGAGTGCGGAAGAAGATCCAGAAGAAGACTCATCAGAAGAATCTCGCAAGAATCCGAGAGAGATTCGACGAACTAGCAAGAAAGAAACAGCGGGCGATGAAATCCAAGAACTCGATAGCCCAGAGGAGAAGATTCAAGGAACAGACGCGGAGATCCCAGAAGAATTCCAGGAAGGAAACCCTAGGATCGAAGATAAACGCAAGGAAATTGAGGATCTACAAACCTCTCTGCCTCCAGAACAAGTTGATACGGGTAAACTTGATGAACTCTTCACTTACTCTAATAGAGATATAGAGGAAAGTTCAGATAGTGAGCCTAGGTTGAGAAGAAAAAACACAAGAAGGCGTGTAGATTTTGATGTGAGTGTAGAGAATATAGAATCTGGGAAGGATGTGAGTGATACATCCAAACAAATGGAGAAATTGCCCTCAGTTCAATTAGGGCAGGAGAAATCGAAGGATGCTGAAATCGAAGTGGTTGCGGACTCAGCAACGGAAACAGAAGTACTGAAATCAAAAGAGGATGATGAACCTGAGGTGGACTCACGTGCTCGAAAGGTTGAAAGAAAGAAACCTAAGGCAAAGAGCGCTGAGAGAAAGGGCAAAGTGTCTGACTCTCGAATGATAGCTGAACAGAGAGCACGGACCAGATCTCAATTGGCTGCAAAACCAGTGACAACTGCTAAAAGTCCTCCTAAGAAGATACAAAGGAAGACAAAATCACAGCCTGCGTTGGTGATTGCTGAGCATAAAACTCTAAAAAAAGCTGAGAAAAGAAAGGCTGGACCAGCAAAAGACATGCCCCGAGCAAAATCCTCAAAGATTTCTGAGGAATACTGAAAGGAGAAACTAAAGGGGAAGAGAAAGGTTTATGAAGAGAGTGAGATACCAAGTTCTCATTCTGGGTCCGAAGATGAGGAACTACTGGCGAGCCTGTGCATGTCTCATCACTTTGTTGATGAGAAATCTGAACAAAGGTTCAATGACATGAAGAATCTCAACACGATTGTGGAGAGGAACGTGAATGTCAGCAATCTCAAGGAGCAAGGGATATGGGACATCCTAGAATGTCTGAATCTAGAAGAGACAGTCACCTATGCATGTCCTCACAGCAAAATTCTGATCAAAGAATTTTATGCAAACATCACGAAGAAGATAGTGAAGGTTGGAGATCCGATGTACCATCGGGTGTACATAAGAGGGAAGATATTGCATTTTTCTCCAACTGTAATCAACAAGTTTTTGGGCTTGAAGAACTCAGTTGTGCCTACCATGGATGATCTGGACAGGGAGATTGACCAGAAAGAGCTGGAGATAGCTCTCACTGACACCTTTGATGAAAAGAGGAAAGGAGAAATAACCCCAGTGGAGCTAAACTTTGAGGCCTCAGTACTGTTCAAAATAGCTAGAGCTAACTGGTTACCAACCCAGCGATCAAGTCTGATCCACAAGAGGCTAGCAGTACTCATCTTCTGTGTGAAGAAAGGGATAAAAATCAACTATGGAAACATGATCTTCGATCATATTCTGGAAAGAGCACTGAACTTCAGAGCAAGGTTCAGATTACCTTATCCCTGCCTAATTCAGAGCATACTCACCAAGCAGTGCCCGGAACTCATTGACCTAAAGGAAAACACTGAAGTAATTCAGAAACCCTTGGTGGTTGAGACAAGAATCAAAAGGAAAAAGGGTAAAGGAAAGAAGGACTACAAGAAGATGCTGGAGACCCTCAAAGATGCAGAAAAAGCGTTGATAAAGATGGAGCTCGGACTACGGAAGCAGGCAACACATTGTCAGCAAATCCATGCAACAGTCCACGAATATGTTGAAGCAACTCTGAGTAATGTGTTCATTATTCATTCAGGTACTCCTCACCTTGATATTATTGTTTATGATTATTTCATTCATGCCCACAGGGGGAGAACTTGAGGAAGCAGAAGGAAATCTCGACTCAGAAGAAGAAGACTCGGATGAGGAGGATGAAGAAGAGGATTCTGAGATGCCTAAGCCGACGCCTAAGCCGATCCCTAAGAAGATCGAAACATCCCGAAAGTCAGGAACAAGCAGGAAGACAAGGAAAGCCAGGAGTCCTACGGATGATGACTCATCTCTTCGTTTCTAACATTTTCTTAGATGATGATCTGAATTTCTGTGTTTGAAGACTCTGTCTGTTTTGATGACTTATGTGGGGTTGTGTGATAACTTTGCTTTTGATGTTTGTTTTGAACCTTGATGATTTCAGTTGAAGGATTCGTGTCTGTGTGCATGATCTGAAATAACCAAAAAGGGAGAGATTGTTAGTGCAAGTATTTGCACGTGTTGTTTTGGTTGTTAAAAAGTTGTTGCAGGTTCAACAACCTATGAGAGATTTCAGGAGAAGAATCCGGCGAAGATTGCACTCGAGCAAATCTGAGGTACAACTGACAAGATTCAGATAGAGTCAAAGACCGCAGAGATAAAGTCTAAGGCTGAAGAGATAGAGTCAATAACAAGAGATAAGGCGAGATCTTGAAGATAGACTCGAGATCAGCGAGAATCAAGTAGAAGTCGACCTAATCACTTCGTGGAGATCTAAAGACGAACCAGAAGAGTTTAAATAGAGGGACAAGTGCATATCAGCCTTACATAGAGAAAGAGCATAATTTCTTAGTCTATTTCGTTACGTGAGTGAGTTCTCATTCCTGGGTGAGTGCAAGTCTGAGGGGGAGACCGATTGGGCAAATCTCCTTTCTCTGGTGAGTGATTTATGTTGTGAGGTTTTTTGATCAGTAGAATTCATTGTGAGAGGGGAAGAAACTCAGGGGGAGTTTCGGGTGAGTGTACGATTCTTACAACAAAAAGTGAGTTGTACTTGACTATCTTTCTCAAGTGAATAGAACTGATTAGTTTTCCGCATTACTCTTTGAGTGTTCAACTTTTTCAGTCTTGATGTCCGCTTCGTCTTTCTTCACAGGTTGAGGTGCTCGGTAACGCTGATTTTGCTACCCGTATCCTGGATTCTGCTGGACATATCCCTGATTCTGCCCCTGAAAACGTGACTGAGAAAAGCCCGGAGGATTCTGAGGGATTCTGGGAACGCCCTGTTTCAATGTTCCGCTCGGGTTTTCGTAGGAGAAACCAAGATGATGTTTCTCCACATAATTGACGTCCTCCACTGCTTCCTCTAGCTCTGGTGGTGTCTGATTCGAACTGCTCTTAGCTTCCAAATGAAGCTTGATAACCGCTAGCTCAGACATGACGGCTTTCAAAAACGCAGATTCTCCTGTATCTATCCGAGCCATGGGTCGTCTATTGTTATCTCCGGACATCCCTCTAGCCTTGGCCATCTTCGCAATCTGAATCTCCAGGGTATCAAAGGGAATCTCATAAATGCTCCCTCCACAGGCTGCATCCATCCAAGCTCTGGTATCATGTCGTAGTCCGTGGATGAATGTGGAAAGCAAAAACCGCTTATCCATGTCGTGGTGTAGACAAAGGCACTGATAGCCTTTGAATCTCTCCCATGCGTCATAGAGACTCTCATCACTCTCCTGAGTGAAGCTGTGTGTATGGCTCTCTGTGCAGCGCGGGTCTTCTCTGGAGAGTAGTATTTTGCCATGAATTGCTCCTCTAGCTCCTCCCATGTCGTGATCGAGTTTGGCTCAAGGGTGTAGAGCCAATCTCTTGCCCGGTCCATCAGTGAAAAAGGAAAAGCCTCCAAATAGACATCCTCAATGGTCATCCCTCTGGCTTTCCTAACTGATCTGCACAACATCTTGAACTGAGTCAAGTGAGCAATGGGATCTTCTGTGGGTCGCCCTCTAAAACTCGTCTGACTGAACATCGTGATGCACTATGGCGGTAGCTCAAAACTGTCTATGAGCGGTCTGTTGATGCATGATAGGAGTAGGGTGTGGTTCGGTGCAATGTAAGAACCCATAGTCTCCTCTGCAACGTATGTAGCTTCGCCCTCGGTGTGCTGATCTAGAGCGGATTCATGTGCTCTTGATTCTCGTGATGCTCCTCATCATGAACCGCACATTCTTGTTGATGGTCGTGCGAACTGCTTGACCTCGACATAGCTTCTTTTTTTCTGCTGATTTCGGATGTCCCTCAAAGATGCTCAATCTCCGGATCATAGACTAGGTCTTCTTTTCGTGTAGAGCTCCTTGTCATGCACTAAAACCCTGCAAATCGCAAAGAAAAAGAAGAACCCGAAACCAAGTGAATCCGCAAAAACCAAAGAAATAAAAACAAAAAGAAAAAGAAAACAAGCTAAGATCTAGAATCAATAGAGACCTAGAAATAGGCTAATCAGTCCCCGGCAATGGCGCAAAAACTTGATACGTGTGTATCGAGTCTAGAATTTATAACCCGTTTCATAACTCACCGCAAGGATACGGATCGTCGTAATACTGGGTCGAATGCAGGGACCGATAGCTAAGTCTAAATCCTAATCGAAGCCAAATCAAAGCAAACAAGTAGAAGTGATGGTGGAAATAGGTGGAATCAATGGAAAATAAAATAAGAAAGCAAATAAAAACGAGTAATCTATCAAGCAAGGATGACTACGGTGTCAGGATCGTATTCGAGTGTATGTGTATATGCTAAACATGCGAGAATAACGATTATGACTTGTATTCGAGAATCATCAAGCAACAAAGATAGAGAATTCACCTCTCGGTCTACTAACTCCCTACCTATAGAGTAACTCGTCAATCTCTCGATCTATTCAAGTTAACCCTAGGTGCATGAAGAACGCTATCATCAACCCTAGATCGATTAAGCCATATCTCTATGTGAATAATACGATCTATCCTATTGATTTTGATCCGAAACCAACTCATATCTCTATGTAGTTTAGAATTTAAGATAATTGACCAAGGGGTTAGCAAACATCAATCCAATAAAAGCGCAAATCAATAGAATCGAAACAAATCAAAACCGAAATCCAAGTTAGGGTTCAAACATACCCAAAACACAAACGAATCCCTAACCCATAGTCGTGGATCTACTCACGGTTCATAGAAAACAATAAAAAGAACAAGAAAAAGAGATAAAAGAAAGGAGAGAAAAGCTCATGTAGATGTGTAGTCTCCATGATCAAATCTTCCTTCTTCTTCCCGAAATCCCGAGAACTTCTATTCTTCTCTTCACCAAAAGCTCTCCAAAAATCTGTATCTAAGTGTTCTTTAAGGTTCTCCTCTGTACTAGGACGTGGCTAGGGCTTTTTTATAACCCTAGGGCGGCTCCCAAGAGTCATATTCTCATTCTGATGTTGAAAATCGCGAAACAGGGTTTTTGACTGGATCCAGACCGATTCCAGGTGGATCCGGACCGGATCCAAATTCCTGGGGTCGAACGACTTAAACCCGACCTTCCTCTGGCATTGTCGTCTAGGCCATATAAACGAGAAACACATACAGAAGCTTCATTCTGAAGGTCTTCTGGATTCTTTTGACTTTGAGTCTCTTGAATCTTGTGAGTCTTGTTTGATGGGCAAGATGACAAAGCATTCTTTCAAGGGAAAAGGACAGAGAGCGACAGAGTTATTGGATCTGATACATAGTGATGTATGCGGACCAATGAGCTGTCCATGTAATACCCCGAAACCCGATTCGAATATTTAATTATTTAAAAATGAATAATTAAATAGAGATGTCATTAAATCATAAAAAGTGATAGTACAATGCCGGAGAGAGGCACGAGGATCGTCACGTGCGGAAATGACCGAGAAGGAATGAAGATAAAGAAAAAAAGAAAAAAAAATAGGGTTGGTCCGTCGGACCAGGACTGGTCCGGGGCGGACCAACCTACTCAGTCAGAGTCAGAATGGATCGCGCGGACTGGGGAAAAGATTCGCGAAAAAAAAAATATCTGACCCCGATTCGGCGGACCAGGAAGTTGGTCCGGCGGACCGGGATTCGACAGAAAACGCAACTTGCTCTGTTGCCACCTTGGGACGTGGAATTCGCCGGATTCTGGGGCCTGCTTGCCGCCCAGGCCTGGGCTCGAGCCCATCTAGCTTCCCTCCCACGCCATAAACATCTCTCAATCCTCTTCCTTAGCCATTCTCGAACAAACAGAGGAAGAAGAAAAAGAGGGAGAAAGGGGGAGAAAGGAGATGAACCAGGGCAAGGGGAGCTCGGGGAAACAAAGGGAAACGTTCCTAGATGTGCCCTGAAGGTGTTCACGGTGTGAGAAGGAGGAGAGGACGCACACAAGCTCGAACAACCTCAAGAACAAGGTGAGTGGCTTGAGTTGGATTTGTGAGATCTCATTTTCAATGTGTGATGGTGCAAATCGAGATTTCCTTGCGTGTTTGAGGTTTAGAACGTGTTTAGGGATGTCAAACTATGTTTTAGTAGCATTTGAAAGTAACCCTAGAGTGAAACGGACGAGAAAAATCGAAACAGAATCAGAGAAATCGCGAGGGAGAAGAAGGTTCCAGTCCCGGTCCGCCGGACCACGCATGGTCAGCTCCGGACCGAGACTGGAACATCACACACGAAGTCAGCCGGACCAAAGGAAGGAAGCCGGACCGAGAGGTCAACACGCCTGGTCCGCCGGACTAGACGTGTTCTGGGGAGAACGGACTCCGCCTGACCATGAAACCGGACGAGAGAGGGGAAGAACATTTTGGTCCGGGGCTGACCACTTCTGGTCCTCCGGACCAGGCTTGTTTTCTCTCACGAATCGACTGACCAAGGGACGAGGCGGACTAGGGGAGAAAGATGCTGGTCCGGGCTGACCAAAACTTGGTCCGCCGGACCAGGCTCAGAGAAAAATTGGAAAACTTGCCGATTCGACCGGGAAAAAAGGAAACGGCCAACGGGGTTGGCCCGGGTCTGACCAAACTTGACCGTGGGTGAACCAAACCCCCACCAAAGGACAAAGCTTCGCGATTGGGATCAATCAAACCGAGTTTTCGCCAAGACATTGCGTGGCGTAGTGAGATGTGCGACATCGAAATACGAGTGATCGTTGCGTGATTGTTTCGGGTAGAACTTGCATGGCGTTAAACGGTAGCTCGGTAGGGACCGGATACCGTGATACGTATGGTTGTACTATGGGGATATTGCACGTTGTGTGTCATGTGTGTAGCTTACTCATGCGTACCAGTTAAGCATGATTGTGTTTGTG